AGGAGGAGTGTAGTGGGGGGCCCGCCGCGGGGGGCCCGCCCCCCCCCCCACCCCCCCCCCCCCCCCCCCCACACCCCCCCCCCCGCCCCCCCCCCCACCCCCCCCCCCCCCCGACGGGGCGCACCCTCCACTCCAGCCCCGACGAGGACATCGACGATCGCATGGAGCAACGAGATATCGTCAGCAAGATGGGGGCATATTACATTATTGCGTCCAAGGGGATGAAGCCTTAGCAGGCCTATTGCGTACTCGGAGGGCAGAGCCCAAGGGGGCCTATTGCGTTGTCAGCTATGGAACGAAGCCCATAAGATCGGCGACCAGGGAGAGAATATCTATTTCATTGTGGTGAGTATTTCGCGTAGTAAATATGTTTATTCGCAATGTGTAGTTGTGTTCAATATGTTGGTATTGCCATCGTTTTGTACATGTAGGTGTGGTGTATTGCGTGGGTAATGCGTGTGTATTAGACCATGTGTAGGTAGGGTCTTTGTCGTCTAAGCTGTTGGGGCGGTTGAATAGGCGGTAAGACCCCATGGTCCCCGAGGGGTGGTCCGCTCCTCCTGTTAGGGGGCGCAGGAGGAGTGTAGTGGGCCCGATGGGGCGACCGATTGGTTAGTCGGCGCACCGGGAGTTTGAGTGCGTTGACCGCCGATGTCGATCGCACATACGGGAGTGGTGCACCCGTCCGCGACAATATCAGCAAAGTTTTCGCAGCCCAGACAGAGGACGTGGATACGAGTACCAGGGCGGAAGATACCCAAGATGTTCCTGGAGCTGGCTCTCGCCCATCACCTTCATGTACACCAAAATATGAAGTCATCTCCAGTCGCAGCCTGACTGGAGAAGACCTTTGGAATTCATGTCACCTCCAAACAGCTGCGAAACTTCTAGTATGGAGTCACCCATGGATAGCTACCTGGAGACCAGTACTCTCGATCTGGAAGACCTCCAACATCGAGCAGCTCCGACAACGTCGCTACGGTCCAGGACATCATCTTCACCTCAGTCGCCAAGGCGCCAGTTGATGGTGGGGACCGGACGTACCTGGAATGGAGAGACCGATATTTTCTTCGTGGGCCCCGGACTGAAGGTGAGCGCTGGCGGTTACATCGAGCAACTCGAGAAGAATATCCTCTCCACATGTCGTCGCCCGTACCTTCTTGGAAACTTTGTACTGCTACAGGATTGGGTGACACCACATGGAATCAAAGGGCGTTGGGAAAACTCTTGCCTACTTGGAATGGAAGGGCGTTGAGTACCTGAAGAAGATGGAATATCTAAGCAGGTCACCTGACCTAAACCCCCTCAATTACCCGGTTCGGGCGGAGTTCAATAGGGTGGTCTACGGTGGCGGAGAAATCGACTATCTCGCTGATCTCAGGCACCACATCGCGGTCAGAATCTCTCGATGGCGCTCCTCCAGAAGGCTGTGGCGGAGTATCATGATAGTATTTAATATGCTCTTTAATATGGTGGTAGAAATGTCCGATAAGAATTTAATAAAGTGTAACTTATAGCGCCTCGAAAGTCAAGGAAGAAAAAGTCTTTTTTTGCCCCCCCCCCCTACATTCAGATTTAGATTATCCCAATTCCGTAG